AGCAATGTGACAGAAATGGCTGTTACATATTTCAAATTTCAAATGTATTTTATTGATGTTTTTTAATGTAAAATAGTTGTTTGATTTTTGAATTTTAAATTGAGTTTGTATTCTCCTATAAATAGGAGTAAAAGGAATGAGAAAAATTGAGTTGAAGTCATACACTTCTCTCCATTTCAGCTTATGCTCTGTTTTTCATCTTCCTCTTGGTTCTCTCCATTTCTTTGTTTTAAAAAACCCAACAATCTTTAGGGAAAATAGAGCAAGAAGCAAAACATTGTTTCAAAGCAGGTGTTGGCAAGCGATTGAAACTCAATTGTAACACTCGCAGAACTCCATTAGCTTCTTCTATTGAACCCCATACTTCACTATCATCTTTAATTGATAACCAGTCATCCTTCTTCCTATTATTGCACAAACTCCCCCCAATAATATTTGCAACTAATGCCAAACCTCTACATTTGCTAGCAATATCCCTTCCAATCCCTTCCAATTCTAAAGGGAATGATGAGCTGCCAAATGCTCTTTTCTTGATTATGGACCAACAATCCTCATTTGTTAGCTTTTCGAGATGATGCCTGTGCTGAAAAAGTGTTTCCATTGTGGAAGCTACATTTTCACTTCGAGTTGTGACAAGAACCCTACTCCCAACATTTTTACCTATTCCCAACAAACAGCTCCTTAAGGATTCCCATTTTTGCCAATCTTCATTCCATACATCATCTAATATGAGAAGATAATTTTTCTCCCTCAAATGTTCTTGTAGTTTCTGAACTACAATATGTTGACTTTCATCCACAGAAACATTTTCAGCAAAAGCTTGCAACATTTCTACTAGAATTCGTTTCAAATTAAAATTTTCAGAAACACAAACCCACATTATTTTGAAAAAATGACTCCGTATTTGCTCATTGTTACACACTAGTTTGGCCACAGTAGTTTTGCCTATGCCTCCCATGCCCACTATGGATACAACAAGGAGAGGTTGATCATTACTTGAGTCAATCAATGATTGAACGACTTCTAGGACCTTATTTTCTCTTCCTACAATTTTTGATAGATCACTAATTGAGGAATCTGTTTGTTGGGTTTCTATATGTTCAGGATGCTTGCTTGCAAGTCTATATTGAGGAATCAATGATATTTTGTCTAGTTTCTCCTTTGGCCCCTCGATTTTGTTTTTGTCCTTAGCCGACCTTATTCCTTCGTTTTCATCTCGGATTTGCACCACCATGTGCGACGGCAGCTCTAGGGCTTAAGCGTCTGGGGAAG